AAACTGACAAGTTTGAAGATGTCTGTAATGCATTTATTTTTCCACAACTTTCTATCACTCCAGTCATATACTTATTCTAGTAATGTGGTTTCAGTATGGTTAGATTCGTCAATGCAGGCAGAAATTTATTTGAGTTAGTGATTTCCCTGACTCATTTGGATTTGCATGCACAAACACATGCATACAATCTTCTTCGTACTCACTCTATTTAGTTTTCTGGCCTCCCTTGAAACCCTCCTAACTACGAATTCCCACATTACCAATTCTCAAATAGACGAGTTCTTAGAGTGGTACCTCGCTTCAGGTGCCTCACATCCCAAAGGAAATGAAATGCTCAGCTCAATTTACCTAGCCCCTCCGCAATCATTTTCCAAATGCTTCAAGTGGACTCGCCATGCCGCGAGAGGCAAGTCCTCCGCAACAGCGGCTAGTGGTGGACGAAAAACACGAAGGTGTGCCCCCTGTCTCTGTTTCTTAGCTGATACCTTATTTTTGCTCTCTTCATTGTAGTTACTAATATTAACTTAAATGTCTCTTTCGAAGCATACTACGCAGCCCCATCGCTCCCACTAGAACGTAAAACCTAATCTTTATTGAGGGTTAATGTTGTCTTTTTTATGGAGTTGCACAGAGTTTGTAATGAGGAGATCGTCTTGCCTCCACCTGATTGTACGATATGGGCAGATCTTCATATGACGTTATTTCTGGGAGGCAGGTTTAGCGTGATATATCAAGTCAACTGTCCTACATTTCCGGCTGTTTCCTGTGCTAGTACTTTTCCCATTACTGAAGAAGTCACAATCACAATAAAAAACTCACTATTTGCACAATTAGTTTTAATTATGAAATGTGTACTGAGCCATGGGTTTGTGTTTGCTTATCCCTATACCTAAATTACGTCTTTTCCATTTGAACTCTTTACAACCTACGCTAACAGCTTAGGTGCATCTAACCTCCTTTGTACCCACTTAAAGTAAGTGAAGTACTTGGTGTTAACAATTTACAGTTGAAGTATTCGCTTAATCGCACTCAGAATCGAGTTAGAAACTTGTCCATCAGCCAACCTTCCCACATTTTCAAGGCGGGCTAGCTTACAAGTGTGCATGGGGACATCGCTTCAAATACACCCCGCAGCCGATCTTCCCTTTACCTCAAAACAAGGTGGGGCCACTACCTCGTCTTCACGCAAACGCAAGCATCCAGAGAGTCACAACATGAAGTCATCTCACAGTGACTCAGTCCCTCACCATCCCAAACCATCCGCCTCGGTCGGGGCCTCCCAGCCTAAGGTGGTGATAGTCAATCTACAGCCCACGAATTTCGATGCACGAGCCGACTTCTGCCTACGAGGCGAAATTGACCGCGTACTTACTCGAGTTTGTCAGAATCTTGGTGTGGAGATACCTACCGCAGCGAATGATGGTGGCGTTTTCACTCCCAAGATTGTCCTGCGGTGAGTAACGCAGTACCTAAATGTTTAATAGCGAACCACCAAATAATGTGGACTCATTCGCCTTACTGTGATGCAGATCCAAGCATACAACAAAGTCAGAGCGTTTTCCCTGGACCATTCTCTCCCATCCTGACAATGAGATTTCGCCATTTGCGTTTGATGAGGTTACGGATGGGAAGAGGGAAGAAGGCCGGATTGCAAACATCAAAAAGGAGGACGAGGCATCAACTGATGAAAAACCAGTGATAAAATTCCCACAGTAGTGTTTTTACGTAGTATTTTTGTCATTCCGCTAAGTCATACCAAATAGCTGCGTTTTAAGCGCATCTTCATAATTCGTTGACAACTTTCATAAATTTCCCTCCTATTCTTGAAATATGCATGAGTTATTGTGATGGCAGAAGGATTATCAATCAAGAACAGAATGTATTTTGCGGTAATAAAGTGCATAAGTAATAGAAGTGGCAATGTATTGTGAGATCAAGATAACGCGATTTCAAAGGAATAGAGAGACAGTTGCGCTTTGAGGTGTTCCCAGCGCATAGGAAGGCAGTGCAACAGCCCTATTTCAGCTGGACAACTGAAAACGCTTAAAGATGGCGGATTTTCCATAGACAAATGTGGAAAGAAGGTGTCCACTCGAAGAATTCTGCCGTATTCACTGAGCGACTTTTGCAGAGGCAACACTGTCCCGGGGAGTACCTAGAGCAGGATACCCCATGTCTGCACTGACATAAATACACGCATGATACCAATAAAGATGCACTTGGGGAAAGCTTTACTCGAAGGCTACCAACTCGGTCAAAAATAGTTTACATGTGGCACTTGAGTCCTTAAAATATAAATTTTACATCTAAAACAAGTCAAGAGCTTGATACGTACTGGTGGGTATATGATACACATCATGGCTGACGATCATGACGGTGCATTTGTATACAACACCACTAGCCGTTTCTCGGTACGAAAAAAAAATCTTGAAAACCGGTTAAGCATAACATCTAGTTTTACAAACGGGCTAGTGTTTCATTCACAATACAAAGCGACTTACAATTCTTACTATCATGCCGACTGGCACATAGGTCTTCAAGCAATCTAAAAAAGTTGTTAGTTCTGATACAGGCCGACCAGCGAAATCGAGTACCCTGGTACATCCCATCGGATCAAAAGGTGCAAGTTTTTGACACTCTAAAGGTATGGTTAGGTGGGGTGAAGCGGGACGTCCGAATGCAAATCGAGGGGGCATGTAGGTCTTAAAAAAAATATTTAGCGACACTCGATCCACGTCCATATGTGGGATGGAACACAAGAAGCTAATCAGACCAGCCTGATGCACAAAACCCCAGAAGATCACCAAAATAGCTTGATAAGCGATCCAAAACACCAACAGGAACTTGAGCCTCTTTATCCGGAAGGCAGCCAATATGACGGCGAATGGGACACTCGGAAAGAGGAATCGAGTTTCTTTGTGACCAACCAGTGAGAAAGCCAGTGTAGGGATAATCGTACCAAGCCATAGAGCAAATCTGAGAGAGTCATTGAAGCCTCTTGGAGATGGAGGAAGTAATGCGATTAGAGCGAGCGGGGGAGTCAACATGAGAGGCCAATGGATAAGAATGTAGTGGTACCATGGGTGCAAACCGTGCTCACCAAGCGTCTCCTCTGCAGAATTGTAGTTTAAGAAGCGAATCGGCGTCACTATCAGATTAGAAATAGTCATCGAATTGCTGTTTGAGTAATATTGTGTGTCAAGAAAAGCCAGAAGGGTCGCAGAAACACAAACAACTAAAAGTCCGACAGGAATGAAAAAGATTATGTTGAGCAGGCGATCGGGAGAGCGAAGCATATTGAGCAACTGAAGTCCAGCAAAAGGGAGTATGAAGATTGGGAATGTGGGACGCAGAAAGAAAGTCCATGCAGAGACCACTGCCTGGATGATGAGGGCGGTAAAAGTGGTTTGCAAAGAAAGGTAGCAGAATATGCATACAAACGCGGACTCCCAGACGTTACTCAATGTCCGAGTGTTCCACAAGAGACCACCGTAAGCCATCGAAGAATAAAGAAGTAGAGCAAGTGGAAACTCATGCTGTCGTTGTGTCTCTAATTTTCTGCTGGCGTAAAATATGAAAGCATCAGGAATGAAGGAAAAAGTTGTGGTAACAAAGCGTGGAGGAAGAAGTAATCGCTTGAAAATATTAACACCGGAGAGGGGCTGGGTTTCCCTGGGTGGAAGCAGATAATCGACCGCTTTAATAGGCAGGTGGACGAAAGGGTAGATGCTGGAACGTGATCTCACCGGTCCATGTCCCATGGGTTCAAATTCCCATGAGCGAATACTGCAGAAGTTCGCGTACAAATCATACGCAGCTAGTTCAATGGATTGGAAGAATTCATCGGGATGCAGATAGCCAGGACTTTGAAGAATGACGAAGGAAAAGCGTAAAGAAATGAGCAGTGCATATAAGCCCCAATGAAAGTAGCTAATAGGAATGAAAGACAACTGCGACATTCGTGGTTAACCTAGGATGGCAAATCGTTTTTAGTCAAGTATACAAACAACAGTTTTAAGACAGATAAGATCCAAAGCAGAGCTAAGCGCCAGAACTACTGTCGAAAACGAGTAGCCACAGGGCTGTCCATAATCCTCTTCTTTTTATCTATAAATTCTGCACCAATTACGAACTAAAAGTGACATGGAGAAACGTATAAGCTAGGCAACAAAAGGTCCCAATCCGTCTGACCTACCCGTTCGCGCCTTACGGTCGTAAGCCAGTTAGCTAGAAGTGGCAATGAATTTGAGAACGGAAAGGACTGCATGCAACATCAACCTAATTAGGTAAGAACTGCGGGCTTCTCAAATTAATTAATAAATTAATTTTAAACTTATTAATTACTCAACCAATTTTAACTGACTAGCTGAGAGGATACTCGTGTCGTAATGCAGATTTTGACCTGTAAATTGATACATGGACTTGTATTTTGAATTTTTATTTATTTCGACATCAGAAAAAGCCATATTGTGTCTTGGTTATCCCACTCTCACCGAGCGGACGGGCTTCAAAAAAGTAGCAGTGGCTACGGTCGATTTGTACGTTAAACATCAGCAGTCTACCAATGCCTTTTGCACTAAACTGTCACCCCAGACATTACACATGATTAACAGGGACCGTTTTTCACTTTTGAAGCTAAATTGCAAATGTTAGAGCGTAAAAGGCATGCGTGGTACTGTAATACTTTGTTTCTGTGCCCGCCTGATACCCAGCGGCCACTTTAAGGTTCGTCCGACTATTGTGTGCAAAAGCCGGCCTTAGGGTCAGTCCCGGGCTTAATTTCTTCGCTGTCCCTAGAACACGTATATTCAGATCCACCTACTGCGCTGTTCTGCTCATCATGAAGTCTTAGGACAATACACTGGTGGCAACGCCGGTCTACATTCTCCCCTTAAAAGAAGACAGTGAAATTCGATAACTGGCAGCTCTTGAGCTTGGGGAGTGCCTTACCTTATGACCTACGCCGTAAGGCAATGTATGCGAGTATCACTCTCATCTCAGACCTAAAAAAATGCTCCCAGGTCCTAGTAAATCTGGCATCCCTAAAGGAGGAACAATTGTAGACTTCAGACATTCCTCAGTGTTTCCAGAAACCTTGAGGGTGCGATGAGGAGTTTGCGTGGAGTCTTCCACTGTTAGCTAAAGAGGTCTTTGAGGAAAGCGATCCAGTTCAAAAGAGGGTGGCATCCACCTGCCTTGACAGAACAACTGGTTCATGTGAGAACAAATAGAGGAAGTCGTCTCATTGATCTATCAGCAGTTAAACGCCAAATTATGCAACTCTAAATGGAGTTCAACATCAGTCTATGTCCTCGGACTCCCGAGATTTGGCTAATCCCGTTTATAAAAAGGTGTGCGCATCCAAGAGGTCCCTCGAAAAAAAAAATGTACGCCACAATTTTCCTTGTCTTGTCTGCTTCATTTTAGTTTCCTTTTAATCCCTTGCCTTTATGTGGGTACAGGGCAAAATGAAAGGCCACATATGCATTTTCCTTCTGAACTCGAGGGCGGACCGTTTGTTAATAAATACACAGACTTTCCCGTTGGTTTTGCCAAGGTTCATATCACTCTGCAGAGGAAAAGGATATGTTGATAATAGGAGAAGCCTCCAACAGAGTCTCAATCAAAAAGGGAAGTTAAGGGGTGAGTTTCATGCTATGTCCAGAATTTCTCTTAGACGTATTATTAGGAGGCGACTTTTTGCGCCTGTCTCGAGCTTCTCTGGCCTTCGATACAGGCACATTCACGATCCATCTAAGGCCTAGGAAGAATGCTCCAAACTCTCAGCGAAAGAACGGTGCAGACCACATTTTCGGATCCTTCGCTGCCCTAGCCGTCTCTGGGACCAAGCCAAGTGATCATTGCTCTCAACTAAAACATGTTGCCGACGCCGAGGGGAAGAAATTGCACTTGTGTGAGGGGTTTCGTCAAGATAACTGGCCCTCAATGCAAGGTGACCAAGAAGCAAGTGGAAAAGAATTCTGTTGGGTAAACGAACACACAGAAGTGATTAGAAAGTTGAAGCGCGCTCCCT